CAACCAACCATTGGTATGTAATTACTAGGTTGACCCGATCAACAAACCAGACGCAGCGTGCCGGCAGCGAATGTTCCGCTAGCGCTATACTTCCTAATTAGTATAAGGCTGCATCTGACAATGAAGTTCTTCCGTTGATTTCAACCTCCGACTCAGACCCGGTGTCGACTTTGTACTACGAACTTGAAGTGCTTTTAAGAGTGGTCTGCATCAACTAGGACAGAGAGACGGAAGACACTAACATCTTTGGTGTTCTTTCTTGTTAGACTTTTCGCAATGAAACGACACCATAAAAGCATTTACCCTTGCTGGGAACCTGATTTTAAAGTTATGCGAGGGCCTCGGCCCTATCACTGCGACAGACAGCGTCCAGGTCCACATGTGGTCTCATCACTTGGCCTTTAACAAGGATGGACTCGGATACCTCCAGATACCCGCACTGTACACCTGTGCAGCATTCAAGTTGGGATTGACTGGCCCTCGTACCATCGTCGCGCCCTCTCATGGCTAGTATCCACCAAATACATCTGGACTATCATTCGCCTAGAAAAATCTAGCCCATTGTCCCGCAAGTGCAGTTTCAACTATCCCTCTCTCCGAGTCCTTCTCTGTCGGTAGGCACCGGGAATGGCCGGTTTGATCCAGGAGATATTATTTCTCATGTGGCACCAACAGAACCACAGAGTTACACATATCCAGACTGGCATGAGATGCCGTTACAGTTCAGTGGCACTTTGTCCTTTTATGTGAGGTGACGCTCCCGTCGGTATCCTCCTTTTGTCTCGGCATTGACTATCAACAAATAGCACCGAAGCGACAAGGTTTGAAATCAAAAGCGCCCTATGATAAAGGCGCCGCGGAACATACTTACGTGTTTGATCTTATTGCAGTCAGACGTCGGATTTCTCACGTAGCATTGTTTTGGACATTTGGAGCACCGACTGACTGTTGTTCTTGTTGTACTATAGTTCTAGATCGCTTCCCGCATTGCTTTTGTTGTCGCCACAGTTGATCCTTCGCACCGCTGAGGATTGGCTGAGGACTTTAACCATTTGACTATTGGTGCAGATCCATGATCTACATAAGCAAGTGCACCACCACCTCCTTGTCCCCTGGCCTCGATTCTCATAGGTACCCATTGTATTTTCTTCTTGAAAATGTGCACCTAAACCATGATCGGGTTATCCCGCTAATCAAGACAGTTTAGAAGGCTTGCGCGAGAAGGCAGCACAGCATCGCATGTGCTTTGCCGTGAAATGTTGTATATCCGTGTGTGGTTCTGAACTTCGCATGATGCGACATCTGGTGTGGCATCTGAGGGATTATTAAACAGTTTTTGGAACAGCGGTCTGTCAGGTAGGCTTTGATCGGTCTGGCTGGGGGACACTGCGCTTCTCATGTGGTAATTGGAACGGTCCTAAAAAATCCTTGTATCGTTCTGACGCTTAATATCCTGGGAGTCCACCAGTGATACACATGATACACCCCAAAGGCGACGCTCTTGTCGCGTAAAAATATTAGGGTTTGCATCGGGGTTGACAATTTAATTATCAGGCGTTTGTGGAACCCCGGAACCCTTTTTCTTCCAGACTAGCTTCAGGCAAAGTTCAATTTTATACTGCTTGGCTACTTGCGTCAATAAAAAAAATTCCACGCCTGCGCATCACACAAAATTCCGCGGATGACCGCTGCCTAGCCTCATGTCTTTTACCGCTGATTTGAACCCTCTTTTCAGGTGAGAACGACTCTTCTTTTGAGATTTTGCGATCTGAAGATTGCTGGCCAAATTTCCCGACTCAAAACACTCGACTCACTCTGCTAAATGCTCCTCCTGATTATAATATCCGATAAGGGGGTCTTCCACCACAAAGGACAATGAATATGATTTTTTTATTATAAAAAAACGGTATCCGACAACTGGCACCGTGGGCTGGCGTGAATCCACATTGCGATAAATTGCGCTGTCCCCCATGGACGTGGACCCGCAGCCGTTCCGATAAGCAATATTGCGGCTTTTATAACGTCAAACTTGTCACCAAGTCACTTTGCCCATGGTATCCAGCCTTGTCCTAGGCTCTAGCAGGTGCCCGTAATCATCGAATCAGAAGGCAGAACACTTGGCGACAGCGTCTTCTGCGCAATCGTCCAGGGGTCCCGGATCTTTTAGACAACAAACGTCTTTTACTTCTGCTTGGAATTGGATTCTTGTATTTCAGGAGCGTGGACGGAAAACGCCGGATCGAAGGGCAAAAACACTCAGTCTTTTTTGCGCGATCGTCGAGGCGATCGCGGATTCGTAGAGAACAAACTTCTTTCACTCACGCCTGGGATTTTCCACTAGGAGCGTGGTACTTGAGGGACGACTAAGAGGTTTGAGTTCAAGGTAGGAATTCTTACTCAGAGAACACGCTGCTAAAGCATGGGCTCCTCGTGCTCATGCATTTCAATGCGCAGGTCCTTCTAGCTATGGATTCAACATAATAGATCAACCAAGTGCCAACCAGAGCTATCTCGTCGTATACTGGATACTTGACTCTGGATCGCCCAGTGTATGTGTACTCGAGAATGTCAAGCTCGACGAACACCTTACCAGCAGCCGTGGGCCACGTGAGTCTTCATACCCTTGTAGTATGCTGCTAGGTTGGAGATAAAACCTAATGCCTTCCATCGAATTCAGCCAGTTTCCGTGTGCAACTTAGAACAGACCTCGCCGGCGCGACAAATATTCCTATGCTATACATAGCTGATACGATTTTACAACAAGAAACTGGCTCGTCAGTTTGGCATCAGCAGCCTGAGGATGCCTGTAGGTATAGGTGAGCAATGACTTGCGTCCTCACAGCCAACTGATGCGAACAGCCTCATCACGCAGTGACACAAGAAAACGCTCGTGAACGGGATGCTTGTGAAGACGGTATGCCACGACCCCTACCTCCTGTTCGTAACAATATTAAGACCCTCGAATGCAGGATTGAGGAGCGACAGTGCACTCCGAATCGCAACCTAATGATGCGATCTAGAACTTCTTTCGTACGCAGTAATAGCTCAACAAAGAGGTTCCACTGGTGATGTTTCGGAGGATCAGAGATGCAAAAGTATGACATTCATCCTAAGCGTATCTTCCTCATTACTCACATAAGCGGTGATCTCAAGAAAGCATAGCCGGATACAAATGCCCCTGTGTTAAGTGTGATGCGAATTTTCATACCATGGTTTGGTCATGGGGTCACACGCTTATGCAGTTCGTTCCTAGATTGACGTCAGGCTTCATGCCCTCATTGCCAACAACGGTTAGCTTTCGGGTAGAACAAGGTGATCATCAAGTTGAAAGCCCGTACCCTTGCTCGAGGGTACGGCACATTTATTCAAAGATTTATGTCTACGTACTTTAATAACATCACAGAGAATGTAATCATGAATGGATACAGTGCGGGTCTTCACCTATAATACACGTGCTCATGGCGCAATCATGAACAACCCCCAGAGCAACGAGGTATAGCCCACGGCAATTGCGTGCGCGATGATTGATGTCAGTGTAAGTTTGGGAAAACTTGGACACATTTCCACGGTGACCTTGGAAGAAGCAGACAAGGAGCAGGCAGGCCAAGACTTATCCTGTGCATGGTATCTCATATGCGAACGTCCCTGTACATAGTGCGCAGGCGGTGTCAAACGGCGTAGAACGGCCTGCCTGGGCCTGCATGCATAACCGGAGTTTGAAACTTGATGAACGAATTGTGATGCGCTGTTGAGCGGATTTTGTTGGGCGTTCGCCAATTACAACTCGCGGAGTCCAGCAAATTTGGCTCAATGCGAAGCCTAGTTTCAAATGGTGAGCTGGCGGTGGAGTAAAGGGAGCGGCGGGGAAGTCGAGATTGCTGACTGTATCTCGTTTTTCTTTACCACACTTTGGAAGATAGTGATATTATCGGCAAGGGAACCACACGAAGGACACACGAAGAAGGCAGGCTGAGATAGGCAAGTCAAGCGCCCGAGCGCCTTCAATGGTCAGCGTGGAGGTCGATGCTGATGTTGATGCGGCATAAGTGCAGTGGACAGGTTGCAAACACGAGAGTACCAGCCAACTCAGCCAGCCTAGGCCATATACTCAGCCAGCCTAGGCTATATACTTAGCGTGGCGAAGTAATAAGCTGACGTTGAACGGATCTACGACTGCCTCAAGGCCAGCTGGCAACTAAATTAGAATGGCGGACATTGCAAGTGCAGAGGCGGAGCATTTAGATTTTGGGAGCCTCGAGGCTAGTGGACGGTTGAACGGGCACGGTTTCATTAATAACCAGCAGCTACAACAAACATCGACTCAAGGCCAACCACAACCACACCGTCTGGAGGTGTCTAGTACTACGCTACCTGTGCTGCCACCAAGATCAGCACTTCGACCTGGTCGTAATTCTATGATTGTGGAAGAAGCTAGACGACGATCAAGAGAGCGAGAAGCTCTAGATCTACGACAATCACAGCTAAAACCAACGATTGGATTAACCCTTGGATCGTCACATCCTATCACAGCGCCTCCTGCCACGCGCCAACAGCCAAAGATGTTGCCAATGCTCCAATTAGCGCCAGAGCCAGAGATGGTTCCCGTCTTCCGGACTCATAGCTTTTCATCTCTATCACAACTTCTAGAGGCTCTCGGCTCTACGCCCGATCTCCACTCCGTTATTGGAGTCGTTGACGAATTCGAGGACGAATTCGATAGAGAAAGGGAAACAGAGCACCTCGTCGGGGATACCCTCCCTACTGCCCTATACACCAACTATACCGGACCCGTCGCTGCTTATACCGATTCCGTCGGTGCTGATACAGCTAACGCCGGCCATACTCCTACCATGGAATCGGCTCATACTATTATACCATCTACTCGTTTCCCTAAAGACAAGGAACTCCCCCTCCCTCCTTCCACTCTACCCCTCTCCCTACCCATGAAATCAAGACCACGAACCGATAACCGTCTTGAGCTGGCAGAGGATCGGAGTGCAATGTCAAGTCAACAGCGCTCAGAGGACGATCTGACCACAGCCCCCCCTACACCCGCACCGGCCATCACAAAACGCCAACATGCTCTGCTAGAGCTTCTGACTTCTGAACGTGCCTATGCAAGCGATTTGGCACTCATCAGGGATGTATATATGAGGTTGGCGTCTGGTGAGTATTCCTACTCTTTAATTCCTTTGAAAAATATTCTAATCCACCGCAGGTCACCCTCCACCTTTCGGTTTCTCATGTACGCGCCCAGTCTCGGGTTCAGAAATTTCAAACCCTGGGTCTAGCTCAAGTTCCGAATCCACCAAGTCGAGCTCAGGTACATGCTCGTCCTTGTCTTCACGCACAGTCAGCACTATCTCTACGTCTGACATGTCCGTTTCGGGCCTTTGCCAACCGACGATACAGCTCACCGTGCCTTCTATCCAATTGAATGTACCTACGTTCACGCAAATAGGTCCTTCTATGACTCTCTGTGGTTGCTCAACTCACTAATCGCTAATTTAGTAGGTCCTCTGACTGAATCCAAGGCTCCAACACAGCTTTTACGCCCGGTGGGCGAGCCCCCACTATCTGTCGCCGACACACGTATTATTTTCCGCAACATTTCTGAACTAGCTGTTCTTTCTGACATGCTCGTGTCAAAGCTCGAGACAGCGATCGAAGAAGGAGGCAAGGGCGTGGGCGAGGTTTTCCTGGAGGTGGTGAGTTTAGTCCCTCTCGATATTAGGTATAACTTCACACTGATGCCCAACGTCCTCCAGGTACCCCTCTTTGCGCCCCCATACACGACTTACATCACCGCACACCCTCGCGCACTCGCACATCTCGACGTCCTCAGCACACCACCGCAGCTCACGCCTCAATTCTCGCGGTGGCTCAAGGAGAGCAAAGGACTTGTTGAGGCACACACGCACGCTTGGGACCTACCGAGTTTGTTAATCAAGCCGGTTCAGAGGTTGTTGAAGTACGGGTTGTTGCTGGGCGCTGTGATCAGTGCTACTCCGGAGCCGCTCGTTGTTGTAACTTCAGAGAGCATAGGCGAGGCCTTTGGGAAACTGAGGGAAGGAACTGAAGGGCTTGATAAACTGAGAGAGGCGAAGCAGAAGGTGGAAGAAGTAGCTCGCGCTGTGAACGAGGGACGAAGGCGGGTAGAAGTCGTCAGAGAAGTCCTCGGGTCTGGACACGCCAAAGACGGCCCCGGAGCAAGTGGTATAGGATCTGTCGGCATCCCCAAGGTGGGCGTTGTAAACGCTTCCGTCTCCCGCATGCGTTCTCTGCGCACTCCGAAGTCCCTTGCTTCGACCGCCAAGTCACCCTCGAAACAAAAAGGCTCCATCCACGTTTCAGAAATAGAACCTGACCCTGAAAACGCCGAAGCGGCCCTCATTGTAACCCTCGAAAGCAGGCTCAAGTCGCATATCACTACCCTCTCCCACCTCGCCCGGGACGCATTTGGCTACGCTCGGACTCTCCATACGCTGTTCGGGGCGCTCGTCAAGTGGGGATGGTCATTTGCAGGCGTCATTGGCGTCACCGTCAACCCTGAACTGTCCCTGAACAATTCTAGTTCGAATCCCTCTCCCCCTTCTTCACCAGATGCCTTAGGGACCGGTCAAAGTGAAGCCTTCGACGCGTTCCTCTCGCTCTGTACCGGACTAGTCGAACTCGTACAAGATCTCGAGCACGAACTCCATTCACACATCCTCCCCTCTCTCCAATCCCTCAAAGGCACATCGGTTGCGCCACTCAAGCTTCTCAGTGCGCTGCACACTCTGCAGCCGCTGCATATGCACCTTCTGCACCTCCCAATCACGCGCAAGCAACGCCCGTCAGAGGCGCTGCTACAGGCAAGCCAGAGTTACGTTGCGTTGCGGGGGCAGCTTGCGTTGGAGTTGCCTGTGTATGTAAAGCTGCTGGAACGTGGGATTGATGGGGTGGTGTTAGACTTAGCCAGAGGAATGGAAGCATTTTGGGGAGTTGTAAGGCAGCGGTGGGGGGAGTTGTGGGATGCTCTGCGGGTAGAGGGAGAGGGCCTTGGACATGAAGGTGCGGGAGCAACAAGAGACAGTATGGAGCACGCGGACCGACCAGCCGGTGGAGGCGAGACAGTTCGTGTCTGGCGCGAACGATGGGGCGATGTGTTGGGCGTGCTCGGGTCGTTAGCGGTTGTCAATCCGCCTAAGAAGATGGAGCGACTGCGTCCTGTGATCCCACAGTACCAAATACCGCAGCATGTGCAACATCGTACTTCACCACCGCAAGGCGCAAAATCAGCAAACCTTGCTGCCGCGCTTGGCCCTCTCGATCCGCAGGTATCCCCTACGCGCCCAAGGCAGCAGCAGCATCAGCACCAGGGGTCGTACGATGCCCGATATACGGCCAAGGAGTCATATGAGGGTCGGTCTAGGAGGGATGAAACGAAGTATGCGCGGGAGACGGAGTATGATGCGCGTCATTCATCTGGTTCTGGATCATATGACACACTCTACCGATTGAATGACCCTCGCAGCTCACAGAATTCCTACGACCCTCGTAATTCGCAAAGTTCTTACGACCCTCGCAATCCTCAGAACTCCTATGACCACTGCAGCTCACAATCGGTGTCTTCCTCGTCTAACGCAGCGTCGCGCACGTCGCACTCGCACTCCAGATCTTATGATATGACTGGTCGACGGCGCAGTGGGAGTACGAACAATATCCCCACCGGTCCTATCCTTCGCAAACCCTCCGATGAGTCACTGCGTTCCGGTAAATCTGGAAAGTCAGGCAAGTCGTACAAGAATAACCCTGGTCCTGGTACAAGTACTGGGAGGGGGTTCGAGGATGTACCACCTATGCCTTCTGCCCTACAGCCGCCATCACAGTCTCGCAGTGGCGCCTCTCCACCGCACCTCAAGCCCACGCGAATGAAGAGTCTGCCTGGGCCGATACTCAGCAACATACCCTTTGTACTTGATCCCCCACCAAGCCCGTCGTCGTTCGCCACGTTTGACGATGAGCAGGAAGACAACGACAGAGACCGGGGGCGTGGCTCGCAGAGACGGCCGAGTCTAAAGAGTAAGATCACAGATACATTGCGGCCGTCATACCACAGGACGCGATCCAGTTCTGTCAAGAGCCTCGGAGCTCCGAGCTCACTGGCACCAAGTTATTATAGCACAGATAGTGCGCTGCCTACATACCAAATGCCAACTACGCCAACCCGAACACATTCACCACATACCCCCACTCGACGTACCACTGACTTGCAAGGGCTCCGCGCGCTCTACCAATGCGCTGCCATACACATGTGTATTCCACCTGCTGGAGTATCGTATCGGGGTTTACCGTTCTTCGAGTTGCGATCTGGAGATACGTTTGATGTGCTTAGGGAGTACGGGCACCCCAGCACGCATCCGGATTTACCGTTATATGTGGATGACGGGGAGGATTGTTTGTTACTAGTTCGGGAGCTTGCTGATGCGGAGGGAGGCAGAGATGCAAAAGTTAGGGGAGAAGTGGGCTGGGCGTTGGCGAGTTTTTTGGTACCCCTGGATTAAGTTTCTCTGCATGTTGGGATCTGGAGGACGGTTGCTTTCTCCCCCTTTGGCATTTGATATCGAATTGAATCTACGTTTTCGAGGTGATTTTGTTTCTGGTTGTGCTTTCTGTTTACATATCATTTTCCACTTCATTCTGCATCATCTGATGTAGTAATACATACGCATGCGCATCAACGAGTCTTTCCAATTTTCCCTTGTTTCCCCCACCGCATCTGCGCGATATCTTTAGCATACGCATACACTTTTGTATTGTATTTTCTGTCGACGTTACACACATACATGCTTAATCTCCAAGTACCCGGCCGCGGCTCGGCATTTACATCCTGAGGTCGCAGCATCTGTGTTGCTCAAGGAGTTCTAGCACGATCCTTGCAGGACACTCACGCACATACCGCCAGCAGTGTCCGCCGTGACAGTACGCATTGAAGGCTCAGTTTCAAATTTGCAGTGGCGGACGCCGTTGGCGTCCATGATAATGAACCATATCGCATTTTTTAGTGTCTCCAACTTCCATTTCTGACTTCTCTCAAACATATGGCTCATTTCCATCATCCAGCTCTGCCCGCGAGATGCCGTCCTGGGTTACTCAATCTCAAAGAGAAAGGTACCTTCTGGAAACATAGCGTGCAACATTTGAATATCATGTTCAGCCAGGATCAACTGTTCGTCTTCCGCTCCATCAGGTCTCCTAGAGGACGATTTCCATTCATTGGGTATCGGATTTTTTTGATAGAGGTGGGTGAAACGACAGACAAGTTCGCGAAATTACGACCCATCCTCGAAACACGTGGACAGGCCACAATGCTTTCAGTGGTAGGCACTGGCAGGCACTATCCATGTCGTGCCAGCTGCCAATACTCTGAATTTCTCGATCCCAAGTTTCCATACCCGTCTTATTATACCTGTATCGAGACATCGTCAACATTGACATCGCCTGATGGTTGTTGGAGAGTTCATCCACAGCGTGAGGTTTCCAGCCACTGTCACACTAGACACGCGAACAGGCCGGCACGGTGACACTCCTTCCAAAGGGATTTACCCTAAACTATTCCTCATATTTGCGCCTACAGATAGCCATCCGATAAGCAGAACATCAAGGTGGAACCGTTGTAAAAGTACATTCAATGTCTTTGTTTTGAAAACTCCTCGTGTTTATCATACCAGGTGCCTTATTGCATCTTCGCACCCGAGGGACTGCAACCACACCGCCGTGTGGTACTTGACCCTTCGATATGGCCACTGCTCGATCTCTATCGACCCATCATCTAAGCGGATGACACTGCAGACAGTCTCGTCGATGCGCACAAGCCGCACGTTGGAAAAGCCGTGGTCGATCACATTGATGACAGAACGTATTGGAAAGTTTGTCATACCAACAAATGTGAGAAGAGGAGGGACTCCGGGGCGTAATTGCTATAACGAAACACATCAATGCTGCTGGTTCTTCTTGTCAATTACAGGCCCATCTCCAACTCACGTTTATGAAAAGAAGAAGGTCCTCTGCAGGCGGTACCATAATCTCCATGGTGAGCGCACGAACACTCCGCGGAATAAGCCACCCTGCTAGCGAAGGAGAAAGATCTCTAGGATAGGTGATACAAAGACTGCGGAGGTTTATTAGAGAAGGTAGTACACCCCAAGCGGATGCGTCAAAACCAATGCGACGATGGTCTGCGCTAGGCACGATGAGGTGGAAGGAATGAAGATGTTTGCGATCTCTCAAGAATTCCGAGATAGCAGGCACGAGGTCCTTGTCCGTGACATGTCGATGCAGACTGACAATCTTGAGAGCAAAGTGCGTCAGAAACGGAAGCGAGGACCTATACATGCGGAACGTTGCTGATGGAGTGCATTCCAGTACACCTGACAATGTCAGTGACTTCCAGCTGGTGGCCGGTGGACAAGATCTCTGAGAAGACCTGGCTGTCTGCGGAAAAAACAACCTTCGAACTCGATGACCGTCAAGTGACGGATGGAGATGACATCCGTTGGGAATGTCCAGTTTGCGTTCTTGATGACCAGCGAGCGCAGGCTGTCGTGACTCTGTGATATAAAGTCGTGGGTAGATGTACTATTCCCTCCCTCGGCTGTGATGGAGAAATGTGTGATGTGCTTGAATGGTGGGATGTTGATGTCCCCTAAACGATTAACGAAACTGTACGGAGCGTTAACATGCAGCCATTTTTGGGGAAAGGAAGCACAAAAACGACGCACTTAATGGATAGGCTATAAAGACGATGGTTTGAGGCACACATTGTTTCAAGCATACGATTGATTAAGTCCTTGTTGCCTGAACAATGCGCACTGCGAAGGTTGCAGAGTTTAGGCAAAGAGTTAATTAACATTCCTAAGAGGGATTTGAGACACAGTAGCATTGAAGAATGAGCACAAACCAGTCTGAAACGCCAATGTGTGTGACGTGTCTGAAACAACAGCATATATGCTTAAGCTTCTGACCTGCGAGGCAAAGACAGGATCTACGAGAATGCGAGTAAGAATATCCGCACTTCGCTGGTAGTGCCAGGCGTCGAGCTCCTCCCCATCGCGACCGCCATGGACACCCCTGTATCTGTCATCGGCTCTGGAGGGTTCCGGCGACGCCGTAAAATGTAGATCAATCTCGCGGAAAATAAGCTGACTTGCGATGCGAGAGAGTGTATGCGGGACCGATAAAAGAGACTTCAGATCACGTTTGGGAAGATAGAGAGCAACTTCTCTCCAGACTTCTGCAGAAAAACGAGGCGGACCATCAGGTTCCCTAATAAGCTTGATAGTATTTACTAAAGGGCCATCATAAAAGGGTTGCTCAACTTACCATTTCTTGTCGTATGTGTTCAGATTGTATTATGGCTTTAACGTCCTGATTTGCGGGATCTGAAGATAGAACAGACAGCAAATCTGAAAGATGGTGATGTCGGCACATTGCACAGAACCTATGGACATGTATGAATTTGACCTTGTTGTGCAGAAGTTCGGTACCCAGCTGCTAAACGGGTTTTGGCACGTAACAGGAGGGCCCTTGCAACATCTGGTGGTGGAACGCCCGAGACTTGGAGAAACGACTGAATAGCGTTCTCCATGACAATCCGGGACCTTTGTGATGCACATTAAATCTAGATTTTATATAAGTAGAAGTAATGGCAGGACAGATACCCTTCGGACGGCAAATGCTGCAAGGCGTGGAGCAGAACATCAGCCTTTTGAGCGTCGGATAGACACCCTGTCACATCGCGGATGCTGGCATCAAGAATGCGAGGATTAAAAACATTCATGAGGAGATTCCTTGCAACTATTGCTCCGCTAGTACGAGGTGAAAATGGAGGGCTTGAGTGCGGCCCAAAGGACCGTGGTAACTATGTTATACGCTCACTCAGGTGGTTCAAGAACCATCGCACGATGGTCTTAGAGTCTCGACCAAGACGTTTTGGGAAGTCACACAGAGACTTTCCCAGCTATGTTCCAGAAGCGGATTGATCCAGACTTTGAAATTGCATCGCCGAATTCGAAGGGACATGCCTTGGCGGTTAGCTTTAGGAATGGGTTGCATGACATTGGTTGATTGGTTCAACTTGGTACGTAATTATGAGGCTGAAGCTACGGTCGGCACATATCTGCTTAGATCTGTTTAGTACCTGTTGGCACTTGTTTGGCGCCCTATGTAGCAACTCACCGAATACCGAGCACGGAGCACTCACTACGCGACATTCAAAGTTAAAAAGTCTCTAAAGAAGCTCTCGCCATCACAAATTGCATATCAATCCCGATTGACATGTCCTCCGACGAGGAAATGCTCTCTCATTAAAACATCCATTGGCACCAAATATTTGGCGTGCTGGGGCGATGTACATGTGATGTCATTTAAGCTGTGCGCACTGCAATTACCTCAGATGATGCTGGACACATGAGTGCTGACACCGAACGTTGGATCGGGCACGGACTGCAAGGGAAACCCAGGCCAAACCACTATGGCGGGAGGAGGCGGCTCTATCTATTGAGGACCGACGACGACACCCGCAGGACTACCGACTACGAGCCAGGACCCCTGGCACTCCCGACCTGATCTGTCCTGCCGGAGCGCCCCGCTCCAACGTTATGCACGAGTTGAGGAGATTTCACAGATGAGTCGAATATTGTCCTTCTCAACTTCACACTTGAACATGCGCCGAATTCAAAACACGTGTGCTACCATACTCGATCGTCCTCTGGTGTAGAAGGGTGAGAGTCAGACCAATGTGGAGTTCTCCCGAGAGAGCGACTGGCGACGTGCCCGGGAGGTCGAGAGTAGCAGGACATCGCGCATTTACTCGGATTCGAAGCGGAGCGCTAAATTCTTTGGAGTCGGCAAACATTAGACCAAGGACTAGCTAGCTGGGAGACTCTAGCAAGTTAGCACTTTGCGAAACCTTCCATATGGCCTATAATGGCCAGGACTTAAAATTGTCGACCCTCCTATTAATATTGTAAGACATCCTGCAATTAATAAGGATCAGTGATGATCCCCTCCTCGACTCAGGCCTCGTGCGAATATTAATGCTTGGCAGGCCCCTATTTTCTCGAATAATTAACCTTACTGTCTCCTTTGCTCCTCTACGATGGCCACCAAAGCTTTCGATGCCAGCGCGTCCAGCGTCTCCGGCCTACCTCCTTCGTATGATGCGATTCATACATCTGTATCAACAGATTCCGTCCAGTGTAAACGATCGGTATTTTCATTCCTACAAACTAAGCAAAAACGCCGCCGTGCCTCAGTTCTTTCTCGCATCCATGAAATTGTCTCCTCTCCTGATTTCACCCTTTCCTCTGTCGCATCAATTGTTAAATCCTGCGCTGCTGCTCTCCCAGCAGCAGAGTTCTCCAACCTCCTTCAAAAACCCAATATCGAGGACCACACGGCCCTGTATTGGGCGATTGTCAACAACCGGCGAGAAGCCCTTTTGGAGTTCACTAAATTCATTCCCAAATTCTCGCCTGCTTGCTCTTCCGACTTGCGACTTGCGTGCATGACAGTCAACGACCACGATTCGTTTATGCTACTGAATTTGGGGGACAATGTTAATCGTAAGTGCAGGCACATAATGTCCTGAGAGCATTATTTAACTTACCGCGTGCTATCAGCCAAGGATAGGTCTTTGAGACGCATGTTGGGTTGTCAGCAAGATGAAATTCAAGTCCAATGTGAAAGGGATAGTGCGGGCGAAAACTACTTCTCCGTTCGTTTCGTCTTCAGGATGTTCCAAAAGCGTCTGCGTATATCACAGAGATTGGAAGTAGAATTCGTTGCCCGGGGTATGTGGACCGTGATTTTGACCTGTTCCTCGCGCTGATAACACCCTATTCGCTGAAGGACGTATATGGGTGTTGCGCTTTTATATGGGACAGAATGGGATGTGGCGAGTTGAGTATGGTCTGTCTGGACATAGCTTGCCAGTGCATCCAAGTGCCGAACTTACGATTTGGGCTCACAACAGCCCGCCTGACTCGAGCTGTGCGACCCAGAAACCTTTGATTTTAAGCATGAGACGTCCATGGGAGACACTTGTACCTGAGGGCCCAGGGTAGGTTTATCTTCCCACTCATCCAAAGCCAAAAGGCATACTAAAGTCTATTCATTGTCTTCCTTGCTCTGACTAATACACAGATCATTCTCCCGTTACACGGCTACTGAACGAGACAGGAAAATAGCTGCAGTTTTATGCCAGTTGGATGATTGGCCGATGGACGAGTAAGTGTTCTTCCTTCTGCCTCGTAGTGCCGTTTGTTTTCATTATCATGATTTGCCAGTCTCCTTGAACTAATTCGGACTGTTTTGCTTCAGCAATAATGGTTATGTAGACTGCGATGGCACCCTAAGAATGAGCCTTAAGATGACGATGAAATAGCGCTGCCCAGTCAGGCCAGTCAGCCTATCTCTTTGTTCCAAACAACCACTCGATGTTATTCTCAATGCAGTACAGTTGACCATGGTATCTTGTCGTAACGAGCGATGTCGATGAGCTAGTGGCACGGTACAGAAACATGTCTGACACGCAGGAAAGAAATGGCAGCCGCACGAGCGGATATTCAAGTTAATTTCGCTGCATCATATGTTGCGACCATCAGCTGTTCTAGATCTGCCTCTAGTGTGTAGATCCGCAATTCATCTGTCATATTAGTACGAACTGATGCTGGATTTACTCTATCATCAAGAATGACGAGTTGCCAAGGGTTCTACATCTCCACCTCACCAATTTCCATGTCCATAATATAACTGACTGAAGCTGTAGCGTAATCAAACTAGCAAGCAACGACACACAAAGACCTCTTCTTCTCCAGGTCAATATCGACCTTTGAGTATCATATTGGCATTGTCGTGATGACCATGCATGACAGAACGTCCTCGTTCTGAGACTCACCAGATCATAATATGATATGATAATGTGGATCCTGTAGCAAGATCACCGTGTGTCGACGAACTGGGATGATGTCAAGGTAAATGGAGGCTAATGCTCAAGTTCGAGGCTGCTCTCGTGTTGAGGGGTTTGCTGGGACACTGGAACGTGGTCTTGGAGGTTCGTTGATCGTTTTCATACTAATTGTCAAGTCTACTTCTTCCTTTCAGTCACTCTTGTATCTCTGTTTCTTGTCGCTTCGCATGCACTCATTACCATACAAATCTTTGTTGCACCAGGAGCTCGAGTCTCACCAAGTTAAAACTTCTACATGGCTTTTATATTTCTCGCAAATTGATGTTATATTGGGCGAAACATACCAGGGGAAGGACTCGATTAAATGCATTCTGAATGGACATACGGGAAGATGCTCAATCCCCGTCACGCTGAGCTGGGAAATCGTCGATCGTCATCGCGATCAGTGAGGCCTTGATAGATGATGAATAGTCTCACCGAATGTCATACAAATCTCGTAGAGATTACATAGCTGAGCATGAATGAACACGGGATAAAGAAAAAGGCATTTGACGGAACATTGGACCTGGGTGAGTTACACATAAACAGAAATATCGTTGGCCAGCAGTGGATAAACGTCAGCGGGATAATCTGTGACGCTGAAACACGATGGTGCTTGGACCAAGAGTTGATGGAATTACAACTCTTGCAGATTGCGGGCTGGAAGCGCATGCATAAAGGTGGGGATAGCCGTTCCTGCGGGGGAAATAGACTGTCAGGCTCGTGCGAGGACTGGGTCAAAATGCAGGAATTCATCTTGCCTGAGAGTTGTATAAGCAGTCTCCGAGGTTATACTGAGCTTAGAATCGTCGACGCTCTCGGGGATCGTTGGTAGGGCATAATGTTCCATAATTCGGATCGAAGACTCATGGACGCCAGGGGTATGAACACGAACGTCTAAGATGAGAGCTTAGTATTGGATCTCGTGAGATGATAATCTAGTGGTGCATATGTGAGTTTAGAGTTTTCGTTATGGGATCAGGAAAATGACGGGACAGGACAGACCTTGAGACTAGATGCGCCCATGAATAGCCCACCATAGTCCACAGCCAGGTCGGGGTATTTGCAGTTAGCCCGTCGATAGGGAAGCTTCCACTGGAGCAGAAGCGAAACATTGCAGCTTCGGTCAAAAGCTAAAACTCGCTTATTAATTCCGAAGTTGGGAGGGGATGTAATGAATATCCCTGGTGTCCTGATACATGGACGAGCTGAGAGGATGCGACGCAGGAGGGGCAAATGTGGGTGATGGGTAGACGGAAGTGGTTCCAGGTGAGTGATATGGTCTCAGAGGGAGAAGGAGACACACCAGTGTGTTAACGTAGAACATGGAGGATGGACGAAAAATATTTGGGATGAGGGTCGAGGAGAAACAATTGTATGCATATATAAAGCTAGTAAGTATATAAGTACCATCGTTGAATGTTGAACGACAATGTTGATCATGGTAATGCGAACGCGGAGACTCGGACTTGAATATTAATGCAACTTCCATCTCTTTCCCTCAGTCCAACTCCATCATATAGACTCGACACAGTCGCGTTCAATGAAACTCTTCTATTCCAAAAGAACAATTAAAGACACTGAAGTCCCCATCCACTTAGACTCGTAACCAGTCGCCTTACACAACGGTAACAAGGTGTGTGTGTGGGTAATACAGTGTAAGGCGACTGGTAGCACTTAGTACTGAACGAATAGAGTACAATTCAATCTCCGACTTTGCCCTAATCGGGTATACGTGTGAACTACGGCGCGTCTCACATACAGTGTATGTCACTAAGGGACAGCAACTCTCCCCAGGCCGCAATTTTGATCCATATGTGCTTAGATTGAAATTTTGATAGGAAACTTAGACAAAGGGAGCGTAAATCTAAATTTCCGAAATTTTACCTGATTACGTAATTGTTCACTTTTGCCATTGAATGCCTCCTCCTACCAAAAGACAGAAGCAAGCGAAGCAGCAGTATGCTTCATCATCGAGGTGCTTTGACAATGGGCTGATAGAAGATGTTTTTGAAGTCTTTCTGGACCCAGATTATGTGCCTGTCTCAGATGCCGAAAGTGAAGCAGACTCTGAGTCCAACTTTAATGGAGCATTGTCATTCAGTCTCATAGACGGCAATATAGGAGAGGTATCAGATAACGAAAGCGAGTCGGATGATGAAGCAGCTATGGAGATTGTGGTCGAGGCTGAAGAGACAGTGGATTATGCAGAGGGGTGTGCATGGAGGGCAGCAGTATCTGCTCAAAAATTCTGGGCGAACATTATGAGTTCAGTGAGTAATATCAATCAGTGCACTGATATACATTGAAAATTTGATCAGGATGTGTTTTCAGGGGACACGAAGCCAGTGAAACTGCCCAAACGCTCGATGCCAACATACAGTGGCACAGCACAAACATCTACCTATCTTTGAAAGAGAAAAATGAGAGAGGGTGCAAAAAACAATATGACAATCACCTCTTTCTGGGCCCCGAAGCCTCCAGCAAGAGATACTGCAAACAACCCTCAAAATGAGTCCAGATCACCCTCTGAACCATCACCAGCCAGTACATCAGACATCGACGTCACCTCCGAGTCTATCAATGAGGTTCCTACCTTCGAAATTCAACAAGAAGCTGCACATCCTTTCTTGGACATGACAGCAGACGACGATGACAATCATGACTTCACAGAGCCAACTCCTGTCATTGATACTGTCAAGATACTGATCATTGAAACGAAGAAATTTAAATCATTCACCTCATTAGTGCATCTGCATGCTCTCAAACAGTTCATCGAGTTGTGGGACAAATACAAGCTGGAATCCATGCATTAAAGCATCCATGATGAAATCGAGTCACGCTGTTGCAGTCTCCATTGGCAAGGGTCCATACATGGCATGAAAGATACGCACACTGTACAAATATGTTGCCCGTTTTCATACACTACCTCCAGTGAGTGCTGGCAAGCACCACGGACACCCATCACTGCTCAATAACGAGCGCATCGCACAAGCTGTGCGTCGCTACTTGACTGTCCTTGCTGATGGCGAGGTGAGTCAGCCAATTAATGGATACTGTCAATGGTTAGTTTTTCTGATATGGACGATAGATAACACCACTGCTCTTAATGAGACAAGTAAACACGGTGATAATCCCATCACTCAGTCTCAACCTCAATGGCCAAAAGATATCTGAGGGTTCGGCACAGCGTTGGCTCGTGAAACTCGGATATGAGCTGAAAGAGGTCAAGAAGGGTGTCTACGTTGATGGTCATGAGTGTGAGGATGTTGTTGCTTACCGAAAACAATTTTTAGAACAGTTTGCTGCGAATGAAAGGTATAAAGCCTGTTATTCAAATGTCAGCATCTTCACTGATATGAGCAAAGGTATCATCATACCTACCGGGATGAGGACCTCGAACCAGTGGAACCAACTCTCGGGCCTGGAGAGAAACTACATGTACCTGTTATGCACGACGAGTCAATTTTCCATGCTAACGAACTTTGGCGACGAGTATATGTTACCAAGGGGAAGATGCCACTTCGAAAGAAGGGCCAAGGGTGTGCAATCCATGTCTTTTATCATTGAGCAGACAGGAAGACTGACACTATCTGAGGAACAGCTGCATCGAAACGCCACACTGCCGGATGGTCAGCGGCTGAGTTGCACAGATTCTCGCGAGATTATTTACCCTGGAAAAAATCACGACGGGTTCTGGACAAATGATAATCTGATGAAACAAGTGCGTCGTGAATGATCCTGGACAAAATTGGAGAATATACTTACAATACATCAAGATTCGAAATACAATCTTGATTTTCGAGAGCGCATTTATCCGAACGCAGTCGCCGAGTTTGTTTTTGATCAATCATCCGCGCACGGAGCATTCGCAAAGGACGCACTGAATGCAAAGGAAATGAATGTCAAGCCAGGTGGCAAACAGAGGGCCATACACGACACTTACATTCCAATGGACAATCCACATCCAGAACTTCGTGGAAAGCTCCAAAAAATGAATTTTCCATGCGAGCTCCCTCACAATCACCCGGATTACGAATTTCATGGACAGCCAAAGGGAATGCAGCGTGTACTCGAGGAGCGCGGACTAATTTCAGTCCTGAAAGCAGCAAACAAAGGGAAAGCTGTTGGAGAGTGTCAGACATGCAAATTGTCATGAGAAGCACAGGAAACACTTCGTTGTGAGGCACTGGCAGCAGCGCAGGGTGGAGACGAGCCTGACGAGTTGCATGCGCACATAGTGCGTGAATCTCTGGGTGTCAACTGTTGCATGTGGAAAATGCTCGCAAATCAGCAAGATTTTAAAGCCGAAAAACCATACATACAGCTCATCATTGAAGCAGCTGGACACAAGTGTTGGTTTCTTCCAAAGTTTCACTGTGAGCTGAATCCCATTGAAATGTACTGGGGATGGGCAAAAACTCGTGTGTGGCCACATTGTCAGCGCTGACTCATTGTGATGTGACAAAATTCTCGCAGGTTTCCGCAGTGCGGCTGATGGAACATTCCTCACCGCGAAGCGCATTGTACCAGAGCTTCTTGATGCATGCCCCATCAAGACAATACATGCCTTTTATCGAAAATCTTGGAGATATATGGATGCTTACAGGTGTGTAACTCAACCAGCTTCATAGTTCCTTCTCACAGTATCCCAGGAAAGGTCTTAATGCGCGTCAAGCTGAATTTGCCGTGAAGAAATACAAGTCGCATCATCGGTGTGGTCCTACATTGATGATGAACTTGGGTGTTCTCGTCGACTGATTGTGGAGTCAGCCGTCAGATGCTGCATACCCAATTAGGAAACTCCGACACGCTCCGCTAGAAATTCACTTTTGGCTAGCGAAAATTTTGAAACTTAAGTTTTTTGAAAAAGTATTCTGATAGACTTACTATACTACTCTAACATAGCACATTTGTTAGGTTTTTAAGACAAACAAGGTATTTCTGAAGGTGTAGATAGAATTACAAGTTTTGATGTCGGTAGTTGCCGCTTTTGAGTGACATACACTGTAGAACGCGACACATCGCGCTGATCATTAAGATTGTCTCGCCATGGCTCAATTTAAACGAAATGAAAACATCGACTTGAATACTACCTCCTTCCACATCTATACACCACAAGAACCTCCAAAAAAGCGTGCTCAACTTGTTGCTTGGCAGTTCACAGCATCTGAAATGGCAGCAGAGCAAACTTGCCTCGTTTCAGAAAGAAAGTCGCAAGACGCAGCTGCCGCTCAGACTGCGTTAAGAAGAGCCCATGAAGAGCATGCAGCACATCTGGGCAATGCATTGCATGGCATCAAAGATGCAGGTTTTGGCTCACTTGCAGAATTCTTAGTGGAGATGATGCACACGACCGATCAGCAACACTCGGCTCATATCTCACGCACTTTGGGCACACACGGTCAGCAGCTCCTTGAAGGAATACATATTCGGCAACCTGGCATCACCAATTCATGGGTTACAAGCACCGCCTCACAGCTGCTTATCAATGAGGGCAAGAAGCTTGCTGCATTCCTGCATCCGCCTTCAGGTCAAGAAGTGTCTGAGCTTTTGAGCAATTGGTCGCTCGAGAGAATTCTTGTCAAGGCCAAGAAGCTTGCTCCTACTCTTTGTACCTTCCTTTGTCATGTTAGCATGGATCCTCGCCTCATATCAGAACGGCGAGACCTGGACCTTGTCTGTATTCCTTGCATTCGACTCTTTACATAGCTAATGTGTGTTAACAGGTTGTTGTCACCTGTAATTTGCATGCTTGCATTGACTCATCAGGATGTTTCATAACATGAACAGATAGGGCTATGTTGGGTCGCCCATTTGATAATCGAACAAACACGCAATCCTTTGCAATCTGCAGTTTTGCACAAACGTCATCGAGAACGTGAGCTGGTAAGGTTGCCGACACAACAAGTACTGGGACATTTGCTGGAAGCCGACCTCGCAGGATTCCAATATCAGCATAGTCTTGGCGGAATGTACCCCCCCCATAGACTAACACAGTGCGCTTCATAAAGTGCCTTCACTCCGAGTCCCAGTTGTTCCAAGACCTCTGAGCAGACTGCAACACATTTCAGCTTCACACTCTCGGCCTTAGGAATGAAAGTCAAGTACATTTCATTAAAATGTGTGTTACATACCTGATCTATCATTAAAGCTGTTAAAGGTGACACAACCACAGCAATACTCTCCGTCTCATCAACCTAACAGCGGGAGGGAGAAGCAAATAGTCTTGCCACTCCCAGTACCAACATCAAGCACAACATCATTTCCCTCGAGGATTGCAACTGCCACTTCAAGCTGCCATGCAAATGGCTTGCAATTGAGTATTTCCTCAGCGCGTTTCGTCAGTGCTGCCAGATCAACCTCACCAGGACAAAATTTCCAAAGTTTCGGGAGTGCAGGCATGGCATCAAGTGGGACTTATCATTTCTACTATACATGTCTTTTGAACCACATGTAAAGCCTTTCTGTTGCGCGACTTGATACTGGAACTTGTTCATTTGCAGCAGATTCTGTGTACAATACACCAGAGCCACCTCCAATACTGCAGTTGCCTAATAAGGTCATAAGCGGAGTTTGAACGGGTACTGTGTTCGTTCTCAATGAAGTGCTCCCAGACGCCTTGTCTGACAATCCACCACTGCCCCTTTCCCACGGCGACAAGGTGGCTGGTATCGAGACTACCATCCACTGTCAATCCCAGTGATCGCATTTACCAGGTCAGCAGTAACCAACAAGATAATCAGAATCAGAACCGCACCACCGTTTCCGGCCCTAACTAGACTGGCAACCCGCCCACCCCAGCAACCTCACTACTGTAGGAACAACGTGGGACGAGCTGAAAGAAATCAGCGAAAACGATGATAGGAAGTTTCATCAGGCGTTCAGCCACATGCTAAGTCACTAACATCATCTGCGTTAGTGCCTCTTCCGAGCTCAGCCCATGTAGTTCCTACGATGGAGAGGCAAACTACATAAACTCATCTATATGTAGTGTAGCATTAGGATTGTTGCAACAATGATGACAAACAACTCACCAGTCACTACGATGTCCAAGTCATAATCGGGAATGATAGGTTCAGGGAAATCAGCCTTCTCAGCAGCTGGACCATCGTCACCGAGCCTACTATCTGAACTTGAGCTCGAGATGGGAACGCAACGCCAAACAGTCGGCCTCAGAGCAGCCAACTCCTGGTAGGCCAAGAAGTAGACATAATTGGCAGTATTAATGGTCTGAGGGACACCATATGCTTTGTGGGCGGCGGCAGCCACTGGAAGAGATCATCATCAATAATGGTGACGGCGACACAAGACCAACCTGAGATCCTACAGTCTCAGCTGGGAGTCATTTTCGATGTCGTCAATCCTGTAAACATAAGGATTAGTCGGAAAAGTGTCCAACAACGTGTAGAGACGTACAAGAGACTGCCATTATGGAGAAGACTAACTACACGGTTGATGACTGCAAGCTTGTCCTTTGGAACGTCAAGCCAGAGGTTCGACAAGCTCTCCACTGGATTTCTTTGCCTAGGTTAGCAGTGATGTAGTTGTATGATTCAAGTAACGACTAGCATGGCGAAGTTGAGCTACACATCCTCGGAGTCATAGACACCACTCACAGATTCCTGAGCTTCAGTCCATGAGCTGGACAATGTTCCGTGGAGGGTTGAGAGAAAGGCTATCGTATTTGTCGACATTAGCCATAATTACCAGCTATTGAGATGGGTTTAGTTGGGGTGATATGAACCTCAACTCGTTTTATATCAAAAGACGGACAGAGGCAACAAATCCAGCGAAGGACCTCAACCCGAAATATAGTAATAGTAGACAATTTTGGTCCTGCCGAATAGGACTTGGCGACTCTATCAAATTTGTTTTGTTTCGATCTGCACCTGGATCTCGATTGCATACTCAGGTACTGACGCGGACGCACCTCTGGCACCACACCTTCGTCCTGGCATCCTGCGCGCTGAACATAATTGCAATGCAAGGTGCATTTTTAAAAATCTATGTATGTATGCACATTAAGACTCACTGAGGGACCGTGCGAATCAAACACCATGAACATTTGAACAGGCAGCTGAGGACTCAGAAACGAACTACTTGCATGTCGTGTCATCAACCACGTTGCAGTGTGCACCAAGGCGAAAACGGAAACACAACTTACTGTACTAGTAGCCCAATAGCCCGTCACGCGTCATTCTTTGTACATATGAACCCCTACCATGTCGTTGAGCCATGGAGTCAGATGAAAACTACTCATACTTACATCAAAGTCGACAGCAGTTGTAACCTGGCAATAATAGCCAGAGAAACAATCTCTTGTGGCGCAGGATTTGGGACAATCACTGTCATCATGGATAACCATAGACGCTGCCAACTTGAAAGTAGCAACAACCACCAGGATGAAGCAGAGACGCGTTATTTGTGAGATGTGATATGGGACTTCAAAAACAAATTTGATGAGGACTGGTAGGAAGACAGCTTGCTTTTAATGTCCTGAATAATGTTCTGTTGCTTAACCTGTTCACCTGAAATACTCCTTCAGACAGATGACATTTGCACTGCCAGCGCATTGCCAGCAGACTTCAGGTTCAACTTGCTATTTTCCCCGAAATTCTCTGGGGAGACGAATGCTTGGAAATGTGTAATTCCAACCCGTTGTTGCATATGGCGTACAATAGGTGACACGGCGATCCCTGGAGCTGGGGTCAGGGGTCACATGGATATGAGAGAAATTCAGCCTCTCATCTGTTGGGGAACACGCTGGACCAGGGAGATCAGTAGCTGGCTTAGGAGATCTAAATTCCAAAGGAGAGTGATATTGTTGCTTTCGGAACGCACACTATGCAGTGCTGGACCCCAACCACGCCAGTGATCAGGAAAACTCTTGTTACTTACTCATCCTTGTTCTCGGACGCATAGTCAATGCCTTCGAATTCCCAATTGACAATTGTTGGTTACTACGTACTGATGATGGGGTATATCCCTGGCACTCATCTCGACTACATGGATTCTTTCGGCAAGCATTCCTCCTCTCCTCAACTGTATTCTTGGTCCCAAACTCTTGGCCTGGCTGGCTCTCCGACCTGATTTTTTTGTTTACTGTCTCGTCTCTATTCTCGCTGTTTGTTTATCTTGTCTTGTTATCCGATGCGTCTTACACCACATGTAGGTTTTTATGCCTTTTGGTATGAATACACCATACATGAATATAATGATTCTCACCAGGCGATATATGTGTTACCTGATAAACCTTGCAGGTACGACCTCAAATACACGTGCGGATCCCAGGACCCCACCACCTGTGTGCCGCTTTTGCACAGTGACATTTCGTTTCTCGCATGTGATTGTACTTTATTTAGTTCGTCTTCATTTCCCCTTTCCTTCGTCCTTTCGCATAGGAAATAAAATAGGTGATTTAGGTCATGGCGGCACTCGGCGTTACAAAGCATGAGATCTGGTATCCACAGTCCTGCAAGCGAAGTGAGAAGCATGATCACCAGCTGGTAGCAGTGGCTCATACTAGTATCAGCTGTGAGCGACCCAGTATCAAAGACATCAACTTAGGGTCGAAGCAGAAATGGTGGAATCCGCACTTCTAAACCGTGAACGTCCCGCACTAGTGCTATCGTTGACAATAATTCTGAGTTCAGGCCCTTGGAGTCTCTTCCATCCGATAACATGATTCTCCAAGGCGTTAGTGCAACTGAACGCCAAACAAATTACTATGTTGGGAAGGCATGGGTTAGCAATCGAGATCCAGGTGCAGATTGGACAAAACCTTTGTAGAGTCGCTGAGGAATCACATCCACGGATGTCAAATATTTGTTGCAGCTACTATCGAAGCTAGGTTGAAATTTTATTGCTGCTGTCTATATAAGTAGGATAGCGCATACATTGGTTTGCAAGGCTTTCAATGACATCTCTTAAAGTTGTTTCTCTGAGATTCTGATGCGAATATTAATGGCATCTGAATCGCAAAGAAACAATTTAGATGCAGCGTCCTCGAACCTCACCGACCCCACCAACCTCGGCAACTCCCCCCACTGACAACCCTTGAGGCTGTAGACGATAGCTTGATAATCGATGACTCGAATTTAACATTATTTGTAACCCCACGTCTTCGATCGACGTCGGCTTTACTAATAATGGTAAATTCAGGATTTCAAATGTACTCACCTCTCTCACTTGTGGCTGTATGTGTTGGTCTGCCTCGCCATTGTAGGGTGAGGTAAATTTAAAAGACGTGATGGAAGCTGGCAGTTTGAGCTATTTGTGAGCCTGCGAACATTCAGCTCAAACAAGGGCTTACTAAGCGAGCGAACGTGTAACCAAGACGCCGTTTTGCCACATGCATCTTTCATCTCGCTTTCATCTCGCGTTCGCTCCCCGCCTTTCTTAGTTGAGAATTATTCGCGTTTTGACAGTTTACTATACGTACTCTCGACCTAGAATGACTAACCACGCGTCTAATTCTAGTTTACCTAGCGGGGTAGGGGGAAAAGACATGTCTGCCCTAAACCCCGGCTTGCGCCAAAATAGAGCGGACACTGATAGATTAGTTGACAATGTTGTCAGGAACAGGAATCGCGACGACGTGTTGTCGTCTGAGCTGATCGAACGTGAAAACAATGCGTGTTCTGATCGCAACAGCGACAGAGCTGATTGGAGGCTAGCAATGTCCGGGTTTGTCTCGGATGACAAGGAGATGCTCGAACTTCCTGAAAGCGAACCCCGCGTTCGTTATGGGTCCAGAACCTTCAGCGACAATGCGCCTTTGATTAATGCATTCAGCGTTTTCAATGCACTCACCCCGCACTCACAGTGACACCTTCCAGCAAGCCTTAGTCCGTAAGGCCACAGCAGACAAAGCATCCTCCGAACCTCCTGTTGCAAGCTCCAGCATCACACCTGCAACACCGTCGCTCGCATACACCGATGATGACGTCAAAATGGTGTCTTCTATTGATGAGGTTTACGAAATTCCCCGCGTGATTATTAACCTTGCCTTAGCAAGGATGCACGTGCATCTCACCCTTTTAACGGCAGAGGCAATGGAGTGCATTCACACGGACCCTTCCAGTGTAAAAATGAAGAAAGGTGTGGTCCTCGATGACCCCAAGAAGTCCATTATGGACTCCTCGTCCTTTCCCCCCGAAATGTCACTCCCTCCAGCTCAATTCAACGAGGCGTCAAAGAATTTCCTCAACTTACTGGCGTTTGTGGTGAGCCCCCTCATCATTGAGCGATTCAAGCAACACCGGGATTTCTGCTTGTCGCAAAAGTGATTCAACGAGAACTTTCAGGCCATCCTCGCGTTCGACATCGAAACAGCATAGGATATTCTTCAACACAAAGACTTTCTTTACCAAGGACGCATACAAGCATCGCTGGGAAGAAATCCAACTGAAAGTTTCTCAACAGAAGTCAGATGAGGCGTCCACCAACGCAAACCGTGAGGCATCGCGTATTGCTGCACTCATCTCGCGTCTCAAGGGGTCTAGTAGTAGCAACTGCTACAACCCATACCCACCCAAGCAAAAAACTGACAGCTCTAGTGCCAGCTCGGACGGCAAGTCCTTTTGGAAAGGCAAAGGGGCCTCTTCTGATGGACCCCTTTGCCTTCTCTGCGGTCGGAACGGCCACAAGGCCAGTGATTGCACGTTCACCCATTCTGTCAAGAACGCCCCCGTCGTTTGCGTCTGGCAAGACAAGATCGTCCTCAAATTGTCTTCTGCCATCGTCTGCATCTCCCACAACATCAGGAGGTGCACCCCAGGCAAGCATGGAGCAGACATCCTCCACGTCTGTTCTGTCTGCGGAAGCAAGGCACATGCCACCTCTTCCAAATCGTGCTGATAGCATTTTCAATAGGGTTGTCACTCCTTACAATGCTGACACCTTCGAACGCCTCCTGCATACGTTTAACCTCACCTCCCGTTACCCTGACCTAGCTTACAATATTAGAAACGGCTTCCCTATTGGCAACATGCCCATCTTGACGCGCTCATATACTCCTTGCAATCACAAATCAGCACTCGACAATCCTTTGGTCATCCGCAAGTACCTCGCAGAAGAGGTCTCCCTTGGGCGCATGTCCGGCCCCTTGTCAGCATCACAAGTCGAAACAGAACTTGGTGGTTTCTTTGTTTCTTGCCCTCTTGGTCTCGTCGAAAAAAGCTGGTTCACCCGGCAAATTTCACATTATTTGCGATCTTTCCTACCACAATAAAGACAATGGATATTCTGTCAACGACCACCTTGACGCTGACGACTTCCCCACAGAATGGGGCACCGCCTCTCAAATAGCGGAAATCGTAAGTGCATCCCCTGCTTTGTATCATTGCAGACCTGGCGCATATATGTGCCAGGTCATGCTCTTTGTTTGTGTGTAACACTGTTTAGTGTTCACACTCTTCCTTGTGTAGG